AAAAAAAAAAAAATTAGAGACAAAAGCAAGGGGGTAAGAAAACCTAACATCCCACAAGCCCATGCATGCGGACGTGGGCCGAGTGACACGGGTGGCGACCTGGCTTTCCTCAGGACAGCACAGTGGAGCAGCGGGAGGGGCTGTGTGCCCGCTTCATACCGAACCTGAATCTTTGCTGCTGGTTCCCTGAAGTCGAACAAAAGCTTCTATCTGGGCTCTGTGTTTGTTCACATTCAGAGTGCCCTGAAATCATGACAAAAAATCAGCGTGAGAAAATGTCCCATCTGCCTGCTCTACCGCCAACAGGCCCAGCTTTTAAAAACTTACATAAGACCATCCCTACAACAGTCTTTAAAAGTTTCTGATCTTTATTTGGGGGGAGGGTGTTGTTTTGTCTTTTTGAGACAGGCTCTCGCTATGCAGCTCAGGCTGGCCTTCATCTTACTTTGTAGCCCAGGCTGGTCTCAAATGCACAAAGATCCTCCTGCCTCAGCCTCCAGAGTGCTGGGATTACAGGCATGTGGTATGCCTGGCTTGGGTTTGTTTTTTTGAGCCAGGGTCTCACTATGTAGTCCAGGCTGGCCTCAAGCTCTCAGGGACGCCCCTGCCTTAGCCTCCTGACTACTGCGATATAACCCTTTTCTAGAGGGATATTAATTTCTCTCCAGAGGACACAATCATTCTGAACCACTCCTGAGCAACACCACTTAAAATATTCCCGCTCTTGGCAGGGACTTCAGTGTGTTGCTCTCAAACATTGGCCACAACAAAAACCTCCCGAGTAGCTGGTCACAAATGTCAGTTCCAGGTCTGGAGTGGAGCTGAGGTACAGCATGTGCCAAGCATGTGTGAGGTCTCGCATAGGATCCACAGCACCACAAACATGAAGGAGTAAACAGATGAAAAACTAAATATAAAGAAAATAAAAATAAGATCTATGCCAGGACAGTTCTGGATCTCTGTGTGTTTCAGCCTATGGACACCAGCAGACATAAAACTGCTGAAACAGCAATCATAGGACCTCGTTTCCAGACCTGGGTTTGAGGGCTGGAGATCATGGGGCAGGGAAATGCCAGGGCGCGCAGAGGCTGAATGTCATGGATTTTCTCTCTCTCTCTTTCTTTCTTTCTTTCTTTTTTTTTTTTTTAAAAACTGGGGATTGAACGTAGGCCCTTGTGCTTGCCAGCGAAGTGCTTATTCTACCAAGCCATCTCGCCAGCCCTCCCTCATGTCATAGATTTCCTAATGTTGCCCAACCTCCACAGCCTGACTCAAATCAATGCATGCATTTCTTTCCTACTGACAGGCATCATTTCTAGGTAGCTCCTCGTGGACACGGTGATGCCCACCTAAGCAGATCCAGAGGCTGACACAGGAGGAGGTCTGCTGCGAGTTCGAGGCCATCTTAGGCTACACAGCGAGATTCTGTTTCAAGCAAAACAAAACATAAACACCACAAAAGCCAAGGCAGCCCCCGACTCTGCCTGTGTAATGCCCCACGCTGCAGGAATCAGACCCTCCCAGCGCAGCTCCCACCTGGACAGCAGGGCCATGAGAAGACTGGGGCCCACCTCCCTCACACCACCCCGGCTGACCCCATCCTGCGTGCTGCCGCCTGGCTGGGCCCTCACCTGCACGTAGCGCCCCGACTTGATGCCGGCCTCCAGCACCTCGGGGAGCAGGTGCTCCGCATACTCCCGCCCGTGGCCCTCCTGGTTCTCGCTCTCCCGCTCCCGGCGGGACTGCAGGATGGAGTCGCACAGCTCGTGGGCGGCCTTTAGGTCTGGCCAGAAATTGTCCAGGTAATCCTGGTTAGGGAGAGGGATGGAGAAGGTGCGGAAGGGGAGGACTCTGCACTGGGGTATGGACAGAACCAATACCAAGCATGCAAGAGGTGCAGGGCATGGTCCGTTCCTGGCCTCTTTTTTTTCCCTTGGCACTGACAATTGAGCCTAGACCCTTCACAGAGCTACATCCTCGGCCCTTTTAAAAAATATTTTAGGGAGTAGCTAGGGAGATGGCTCAGTGGAATAAGCGCTTCCCTGGCAAGGGCAAAGGCCTGAGTTCAATCTCTGGTTCTGCCAAACACACACACACACACACACACACACACACACACACACACACAGTATTTTAGGGAAGGGCCTACAGGGTGTTGAGGGTCTCACTACTAGATTGGACTCATAGTGATCTGCCTGTTTACAGCCTCCCAAGAGCTGGGATTACAGGCGCGGCCACCACGCCCAGTCCCAATTGCTGTCTCAGCGTGCCTTGGGGCGTGTGGCCAGCCAATGATCGAACCTTGGCCCCTTCGCCTACTTGCAAGCACTTTAATCCACTGAGCTATTTGGCCAGCCCTTTGGCCCATTTTCTTAGTATTTATTTTGAGATAAGTCTTCTTAAATTGCTAAATTGCCTGAGCTGGGCTCAAACTTGTGGTCCTCTTGCCTCAGCCTCCCAGAGTGTTAGGATTACAGCTGCTCATTTTCTTCCATCTTTTTAGACCCAGAAGCCTAACCTAGGGAACCCTGGGGAGGCCGGTCCACCATGGCCCACTTCTACCTGCCAGGCTTTCTACTTTCTTTCTTTCTTTTTTCTTTTTTTGTTACCAAGCATTAAACTAAGGACCTTGTGCTTGCCGGGTAGGCACTTAAGAAGCTGAGCTATCTCCCTGGCTCAAAAGGTCTAGAGGCTGTTTTTGTTTTTTCTAGTACTGGGGATTGAACTCAGGACCTTGTGCTTGCCAGGTAGGTGTTTATGCCACTTAGCTATATCCCCAGCCCAGTACTTTCAAACCTCTCTCTCTAAATGCAACCCACAGCCCACCCCCAAATCCAGGTGGCCTGTCTTTATAGCCAGCACACTGGTGCACGCAATGGCCTACAGAGAACGGACAGGCAAAGATCCCATGAGTCCAGCGTATTCTTACTTTTTTTGAGATAGTCTCACTAGATAGGTCAGGGTGGCCTTAATCTCATTAAGTGGCCCAGAGTGGTCTTAAACTTGTGGCAGTCCTCCTGCCTCAGCTTTCCTAGTGCTGAGATTACAGACATGCATCATTACACCTGGCTGTACTCTTATCTTTTAATATGTTTTCAAGTTAAAATTTAAACATAAGGCAGGCCAGGCATGGTGGTGCATGCCTGTAATCCCAGCACTCGGGAGGCTGAGGCAGGAGGATCACTGTGAGCTTGAGGTCAGCCTGGGCTACAAAGTGAATTCAAGGCCAGCCTCAACTGCATAATTAAACCCTGTCTCTGTCTCTGTCTGTCTGTCTCTCCCTCTCTCATGTAAGGTACCATCTAGCACATTGCCATTTCTCAAATTGAAAAAAACAAACAAACCCACAAACCACCCTTACTCTCAACTCCAGCATTTCTCTCATTAATTTTAGGGCCTTCGTCAAATGGCTTCCCTTTCCCTTCTTTTTCCAAAAGTTCTCTCTGTGTTAAAATCAGCACCCCCAACTCTATGGTCACACGTCACTCATCAACACCAAGCTTCAGTCAGCTTGAAGCACCAACCTGGGAACTACTGACAGCCTTGGCTCTGTTCCATCTCAATTCAAATCTTCAAGGATCATTCTGGGCTTCCTTCTCCTCTGAACATCACAATCTCACTGTCTCTGCCTCTCTGTCTCTGTCTGTCTCTCTGTCCTGCTAACGTTCAGCTGTTTGAGGCCCTCGGTCACACTGTCTGCTTAAGAAACGCTCTACAAAATAAAACTGTCCTATATGGCTGGACTACAAAGAAAAGTAATTTCCCCCAAAAGTAGAAAAATGTAATTTTAGTCAACTGTCCTCTGTAGGAACAAGACAAGATGTATTGGAGCCGAAAAAACAAGTGACACAGTCATTAATATCCAGCGCCCCTGGAATTCTCCGGCATGTCAAGGCACTTTTTACGGCAGGGCCGAGCAAATTCTATTGGTAAATCGTTAGCAATACCTGCACACTGGCACCTCAGAGAATCTACAACTCAAAGCGCAGCCAGGCCGGCTGTAAACCGATGGGTGAGGGCGGGCTGTGTTCTCCTTTGTGCGACCGAAAGATGACATCAGCCTGCAGAACCGGACGGGCCTACTGGGCCAAGAGCAGAGGCCAGGGTCTACTGAGAGGTTAGCAGCTACCCTGTCCTTGCCAACGGTTCTTAAGACACGGCAACTGCTGTGTTGCTAGGACAGCAGGAAGACATCCAGAGTGATAAGCCACTTCCACCTGCGACCTGCCCCTCGCCGCCGAGTGTCACATCCCAGGCCCTACACTTGTCTCTGCCATGAGGAGGGAGGGTGGAGGACAGCCGGAAAAACACGAGTGGCCTTAAAGCAGTTTAGAGCTCTGTGTGCGCTGTCAGAAGAACCAAGTGCGAAGCAGCTGGCCCTGGGGGTGAAGAGGCCTGGTGTCCGACTGCCTGGGGACTGGTCCCAGGGCTGCCATTTCCTAGTGTGTGACCTCAAACAAGGCTTGGCCTTTCTGTGCTTTTTTTTTTTTTTTGGTACCAGGGATCAAACTTGGGACTTCACACTTGCCACGGAGGCGCTTGTGCAGTGGAGCTATAAACTGGGCCCCTTTCTGTTCTTTAGTTCCCTTACCTATAAGGTGGGGCAATCACACTAACCTCATAGCGTCGTTCCTAGAATTAAGTGACACAATCCACTTATTTATGTCTATCACTACACTTCCAAAGTACACTCTACTCGGCATAGGTGCATATTATTACTAACAACCAGGGCCATGCAAAACTGCTATTTTTTTTGGCAGAACCGGGGATTGAACTCAGACCCTTGTGCTTGCCAGGGAAGCGCTTATTCTACTGAGCCAAAAACTGCTATTTTGGAGATCAAAAATAAGAATACCAGAAAATTTTTTACCCCTGCAGCCCTGGAGGTTAAGCCAAGCACCTTTAAGCTACATCCCTAGCCCATTTTTTAAGTCTTTGAGGCAGGGTTTGCTAAGTTGCTACACTGCCTGGGCTTGGTTCAGCTTTGTTACTCTCCTGCCTCAGCCTCCCTCAGTGCCGGTGGCAGGTGTGTGCTGCTACGCCCACCTAATCCTGCGCCCACCATCATCATTTATGGATCTTGGTATGCCATTAGCCTGGGTGCCAGGGGAGTGGTTCAGAGGTAGCGTGCACGCTGAGCACACAGAAGGGCCTGGGTTCAATTTCTGCACTAAACCAACAACCACGACAAAAATGGCTTTATCAGCAGCTTGGCTTGTGGCCAGTCATGGCTACGTTATGCCTCCCAGTCCCAGGAACTGGCTGACATCAACTTCATTATTTGAGGACTGCCACAAACATGTGGCAGCTTACTGCCCTTCCCTATCTCTCCTTTCTGTACTGAGACCCACGGGCGTGGGCTCCTCGGACAGGAACGCAAATGCATCTGTCCACCCACACCCCGCTTCCGCCCAATGACCGAATGCATCTGTCCACCCACACCCCGCTTCCGCCCAATGACCGAATGCATCTGTCCACCCACACCCCGCTTCCGCCCAATGACCGGGATACCTTGAAAGAAATCACAAACACTCCCTGGGTTTCACTCCCGTACTGCTGAACGGCCTCTGCATCTTCGGTCACCATCACAATGGGCATCTTGTCCCCACAGTGGTGATAGTACCAGACGGCTGCGTTGTAGATGCTCCTGCAGGACAGGGCAAAGCCTGAGCCCTCGCAAGCAGGCACACTGATTCCAGGTGGCTTCCAACACCTGGCGACCTTCCTGCCTCAGCCTCCTATACTCAGCTCTCACTCTCCTGTCACTGGGACCAAACACTCATTCATTTACTCAATGAACGCCTTCTGAGTCTCCATTATAGACAAGCCCTGGGCCGGATGCTCCAGGGGAACAGAGTCATCAGAAAGCACCCACCACCCCAGACATCCAAGGCCTACAGCAACTGCATTCACTGTCCACAAGGCCTCGATACCATGAGGCTCAGTCCATCCTCCCCCCCACAGGAGCACAACTTCTAGACCCCTGTGAGGATCCCGCTAGCCATTAGATTCTAGGGGAACTCACTCTGGTACCTATGTCTCCTTAGTTTTAAAAGCAGGTAATGATGATGTATTCAGCTCATCTATCTAAAATACACAGTACACATTTGAGGATCACAGCCCTATGTGACTGCGGTGGACTCCACACGAGGGCAGGGGATCTGGCCACACCTGGTCTGCCACTTCTCCAGGGCCTCACCCCGCTCCCGGGGGAGGTAGCAGTCCTCCTGGAACTCGTTGGCGAAGAGGATGCAGTCATGCCGCGTGTCCTTCAGCAGGCTCCGCAGTTTGTTATACATTCTGCAAGGCAGAGGGGGCAAGGTAGAGGGGGCGGATCAATCCGCGAGGCACGCTCCTGGGAGGAAGGGCTTAGAGCCAGATAGTTCGATTAAAAGAGGGTGGGGGTGGGGGTGGGAGTGGGAGTGGGGGTGGGGGTGGGGGTAGAGGTGGTGGGCGGCATTTATTCCTCTGGGCCACTTCCTCTCTGGGTTGGGCCTGCTGGGATGAGCCTGGTTAGTTTGCTGATTAATTAAACCCCTCGTCCTCCCTGTCGCCTCGAAGATTTATAGCTCATTGCCTATGGCATCATACTGTCCTATCCTTCCTCAAAGGCTTCGTACACATGGGCAAGCAGCCTCCTTACACAGTCCAGGCTGGCCTTGAACTTGCCCAAGTCCTCCTGCCCCAGCCTCCGGGGTGAGGGGATTACAGGCACGTGCCACCACACCCGGCTGGCACTTTATTTTTGACTCTCACTTTGTTCTAGAAATGGAATTAGCATTCCATAGATTTTTACTGCTTGCTGGCAGACCTAGCAAAGGACATGTAAGGTAAACAGGTTTAGGGCTTTGTCTATGAGCTTTATTTTTGCAGTTGGCCTGATTTACATAAAAGAGCACTAAACAGTTTACTGGCAGAAAGCTAAGAGAAAGCTGGAAGGTTTTGTCTGTCCAAAGACCTTGCAACAATGTCATAATCAAAAATTAAATCCAGGG